ATGATGTCCAATGACAATCACTGTCATGCACACACCTTGCTCCTTTATCACCTAACAGATGGTTCAGGGATAAGGCCTGGGAAATGAAATCAGTGGGCAGTAGCACAGCGCAGAATGAGGCTGCATCTTCATTAGTCAATTTTAACATTACAGATAATTGTATCCATCCTGATATTATCTTTAGATCCCAACAGAGCCTCCAACCAAAGCTGCAGATCAAACCTAAATACGAGTGGATTAATCATCAGGATTAGTCCCTTGCTTGATGTAGATAGGTGTAGTTTCACCGACAACCATAGAAATAACATGACACATGCCTGCTGAGAATTGGGTCTGGGCAGCCTCCCCTTTTGCCCCTTTCAGACCTAACTCCTCTAATCCCCAGGAGAAAACAATCACTCCCAGAGCATCTGCAGGCACTAAAATATAGTGCTGCCTCTGTTCAGTGGCCTGGCCCCCTATCAATTAACAAACAGAGCACTTAAGCCGAGTTCCTCACCCCCCAAGCTCAGAGCTGTAACAATCAGAGTGCAAGAACATCTCAGCAAATGAACTCTGCCCCACGCATTCAGCGTCCAAACTAAATAGCCCAATGCAATGACTAACGAGGCAGATCCCCAAATGAACTCTGCCTGCCCACCTGTTACACCTAAGTAGCAGTGGGGAGGAGGTAATAAATCCTTTCCAGTCAGTGTGTTGTATGCAAATAACACTCATTGGACTACAGCAGCCAAAGGACAATGGTAAGGTTGCTATTGTCATTGGATAAATAGTGACCGACTCATCTCATGATACATTTGTTCATGAATACTGTGCAAAATGTGGGATGTTTTTCCTGTATTTTTTACTCTTACAGTCCTCTTATATGTGCAGAAAATTCTTTCTGCATATCACCAACGATCCCTCAACGCTCTCTGCATATATCCATAAGGGGAAGCATTTGCATTACTGACAAGGGAATAGATTCTGAATTTCATTCTGATTTGAACAGCTCAATCCCTTAGGCTGTTTTTGGAAATCCCAGCCCAAGGGCTTGATGACACCCTAATTGTGAACGTTTTGGCCATAACATTCTCTCTTGTATTAACAAAACTTATACCGTATAACAAAAGATGTATATGTTATGGTCCATCTTGGTTCTAATTAAAATAATTACCCACCCTTGTCTTCAATTGTTTTTATTTTGTTCAGCTAAAGAAAGTTCTAAGCATGATCTTACCAAGTGCTGAGCTATATCAGCTCCCAATGACTTTATATACTGTAAGAGGGAGTTGTTATTATTCCACACTTCCCAGGAGGAAATCAGCACCAAAGGGTCAAGTGAAAGGGTCAAAGTGCATAGGTTAACCTTACTTTTAATCCATCTGTCCCTTCCTAATGCAGCTAACCTTGGTCTAACTTCTCTGAAAAAAGAGCACAAATCCATCCAAATATCTTTCTTCAAAGATGAATCCACTCAGTTACTTTTGTCTCGTAATAAAACCAACACCCAGGCGAGAGTTCCACCCTGCAGTCCCTTTGCTCTGATTTGCGAGCATCTGTCGGCCTCAGTTTCTAAATCCAACCACACCAAGCGCGCATTCATCAAGGACAACCCCCTACCGAACTAAGTGGTGGAGATAATTATGTACTTGATGATACATAATGGATCATGCAACCCAGGTAATGCTATGGCACAAATGGAAATTAGGCCTCCGAGCCGAACAGGAAATGTGTTAAGTGCTAAGAAGTGATGGTTTGGTACTAACTGCCCTTTCACAAGAAAATAAAAGAGTGCCAGAAAGTTCATTGAAAATTGTTTTCTAAGCCCAGTTAAGTTTTTTTTTTTTTTTGAAAAGGCACCAAGCAATGAAAAAAAATTCAGATGTTCTAGCATCTGAAAACCTGACACCTAAATCTGAAGACTGTCCACATTATTTTTTCAAACAATTCCTCCCTAAAAATAGGAAGGGGGAAAACAAAATCGTCATCTATAGGATGCTGCTTTATTGTATTTGACTCTGAACCGATTCTCTGAATTTATAATGAGATTCCATTTAAAGAGCCCCAGTCACATATGACATTTGAAAGTGTTCTAGTGCCATCTAGTGCTCTAGTCTTTCATGTATTCCGAAGCCAGCGTTCTCTTTTAGAACTACAAGGAAATCAAAAGTCTGAGGACAAGTAGTCTTTCGTGTATTCCGAAGCCAGCATTCTCTTTTGGTACTACAAGGAAATCAAAAGTCTGAGGACAAAAGTAAGGTAGATTTATAAGCAGTGCAGGTCAGCATGCAGACCTCTGGAAAAAAACGACTTGCTTGCTTCAAGCAAAGTGCTACAGCATTTGTGTATCTCAAGTAATGCTCTCTTTCAATAGTTAAAACTGTTTGAATAAAATGAATGAAACTGATGAATGATGGTACAGCATTTGTGTATCTCAAGTAACACTCTCTTTCAATAGTTAAAACTGTTTGAATAAAATGAATGAAACTGATTAATGGAAAGCTAGATTACTGAATATTAACACTGGATCACTGATACTCGATAGTGTTTTTCAAATTGGGTAGCAAGGCTGCCAGGTTAAGCCGCTGGTGGGCCCGCACTATTTCGTTTACTCAATGTGGTTACAGACACATGAAATAAACAAAAAGGCACAGGCCCGCCAGCAGCTTACCCTAGCCCGGCCAGACGACCCAAGTTTGAAAAAACCCCACTCTACAGCAATATAAGGTTGAACTCAAAAGATAATGGAATATTATGAGGGAAGAACACATCTCGACTTCATAAACAGGTGACTTGTCACACTACACTCATAACACAAAATCATTTGTCTATAATAGTCTTGTCTCAGAGAATTCTTATTAATTCTGACCCAATATCAAGCTGGGGGAAAATAAAAAATTTCAAAATAGTTTTCATACCACACGTTTGGAAAAACAATTCTGGATTTTAATTTTTGCATGAATATTTAATTTGAAAAAATCAAAATGAAAACATTTTCATTTGGGAGGGTGTGCTGCTCCCCTTCCTTCCTCTCTGTTCCCCACCCAGGAATTCTGCCCCCATAGTGCCAGTGAAAAGAGGGGGAGAAGGGGTGGGAGAAGGAAAAATCCAATACTTGTTCTTTTTCGGTGTTTCATTCAAAACATGAAAACCTGAAATTTAGTGTGTGCACATTAATTAAAAAAAAAAAGATTTTCTATAAAACATTCAAAACATTTCCAGCCTTTCTACCAAAACACAGTAGGCAACCTTTTTAGGGAGAAGCACAACAAGGTCCATTATGACCACATCCATTCATTTTCCCCCATTCTTTACTATCGATTCTGAAATCTGCCACCTACTCTCTACCCCATTTGGGCTGTGTCTAGATTGGCACGATTTTCCGGAAAGGCTTTTAACCAAAATGTTTTCCGTTAAAAGCATTTTCGGAACACAGCGTCTAGATTGGCACGGACGCTTTTCCGCAAAAGCACTTTTTGTGGAAAAGCGTCCATGCCGATCTAGACGCGCTTTTCCGTAAAAAAGCCCCAATCGCCATTTTCTCCATCGGGGCTTTTTTGCGGAAAACAAATCTGAGCTGTCTACACTGGCCCTTTTGCGCAAAAGGGACTTTTGCCTGAACGGGAGCAGAATAGTATTTCCGCAATAAGCACTGATTTCTTACAGTAGGAAGTCAGTGCTTTTGCGGAAATTCAAGCAGCCAGTGTAGACAGCTGGCAAGTTTTTCCGGAAAAGCGGCTGATTTTCCGGAAAAACTGTCCAGTCTAGACACAGTCTTGGTGATTAGGGAGGGGAAAGGTTAACTGTTAGGCGTCACCCTTACTGTGATGCTTACTGGTTCCAGTTAACTGTGGGGCTGGAGCAGATCACCGCAGACAGGTTGCTGCTCCAGCCCTGGGGGGCACTCCACAGGCTGGGGGTGCTCCAGCTTAGCCAAGCTGGAGCAGTGCTCCCCCCTCCTTTAATCAGTTAAGTGGTTAAACAATACGTTTAACTGCTTAACCAGTTAAACGGCATTTTACGTTCCTATTAGGAATTGACATCTCTAGCACCTATCTTCTCTTCCAGCTCTATATCCCCCATGCACAAACACTTTCTGATTTCTCCCATCCTCAGAAATCCACCGATGCACCCTCTGAGTCTTGACACAATAGCCCCTCGCATGAGCAATTTACATCCACATTCCCCCCACTCCTGGATCCATGGAGCAACAGGCTTGTTAAGTCCTCAAACATCTACTCCTTCTAGCTAAGGCTTGGCGTCTTCACTGTTAGAGTTCTCATTCTCTTTGCTCTTTCCACACCCTCAAACACTTTATCACTCCCTCCATGAGACCTTGCCCTCCCTTGGGTTTTAGGGCCCCTAATTAATTATGCAAATGAAGCACGGCAATATGCTAATCTGTGCTTCATTTCCGTAGACTTTTGCGCAAGAGGGATGCAGCGCAGACATAGCCTGAGAGTTGACTTTCCAGGCACTACTTGCCATGCACATGCTTAAGTCTTTGCAGGGTCAGGGCTTTATGCAGTACACCCAACCTCTTAAACTAGATATAATTATGTAAGTATGAAAGAGGGTCAGGTTTTATGAATATTCCAAGATCCAGTTAGATTTGAAAGCTGAAATTAAACTAGGCTGGGTAAGTGCTGTAGTCAATACTGAATGGAATCTATTAGAATTATCCCTTTTTATTGAGTCCAAGGGGCGTTACCTGACTAATTTTAAAGCTGGGTTCTTTTTATGTTAATTTTAACGAGAACAACGTGTCTCAAAGCAGGACACTTGCTTATACTTAACCAACCAACTTATTAATTCACCCAGAAGCACATCAGTATACAATCAACAGTTCAGCAGTCAGGTATAGATACAACCAGATATTCAAATTCGCCACCCATGGTGGAGCTCATCTGGGCTTTGTCACGGTAAGAAAAGGAACTATCCAGACAGCTAGACACACAACACACCACCTCCTTAATCCCAGGAAAAACAGTGGCCTTTTTGCAAGCAATGTGCTTTTTATATAAAATTCTCACTTTATTAAATATATCTGAGAACATTTCATAGTTATTGTTAGACAAATATTTTAAATTTTCAGTACACATTTACTAACATATTTCTTGTATACAGTTTTCTCTTTCAAAAAATGAGGTAAAAGCATATGAATGCAAGAACTCTATTTCTCAGATATTTGTATTTACATTTTTCATGTCAAGAAGTGCAATTTTGCTTCTACAGCTCCTGTAAAGTGAAACAGCTTTATCTGTCAGTTACCCGATGTCCCACTCTAAAAACTGAACCAGGTATCTTAACATATTGTTTTAGATCTCTAGCTTTCTCACCGGTGAAGGTCATGAAAGATCTATAGGCAAGTAATACTTACAGTAATTTATCTTTACCATTACAGGCAGGACAGTAAATATGCCTACTCTCTGTGAAATTGCCTATGATTGTTACAGAATGGAAGTCAATAATATCCACAATTATACCACTCAAGTATTTACACTTACCATCACACATTCTTGCTTTTGCATACAAATATATTTTCTGCCTCAGGCAGCTGAGACACTGTACCATTACAATGCAGGAGTGTCATGGAATTCATTCTCAAAAATCCACAGCAGAACATGAAACTCTGTCCTTTGTCTTGTTGAACTCCATCTTCAGATATTTATACAAGTCTTTTACACATCAACCTGGCATTACTGAAGTCAATGAGAGTGCCCATTGAATTCAACAGGGTCATGATTTCACCTTGATGGTGGAATTTCTGACCACACTCAGCGCTAGTCTAATGCTGAAGGCAACAGTAAAGCACCACATGACTTGAATGGGAGCCACGTGGGACCAATACAGAGAACTTTTGAAACTCCCATTTATGGGGCCTGAACCCACTGAAGCGAGTCCCACTGTGGAACAGGTTCGTATTGCCTAGAATAACGTTTCTTTCATGATTTAGTTCTCTCTCAATGTAGGTGACAGGCTTACAGCATCCTATCAATTTAGCTAGCAAAAAGGCAACTCCCTTAAACCTCTGCAAAGAAAGTGTCCATAATACGGTTTAGACTGTCAAGCTTTTTGCCACAGAAAAGCCGCTTTTGTGAAAAAAAATTGGAAATACCTGGAATTATCTCAAGATAGGATTAAAAAAGAAAGATTTCTTACAGTTTGGAAGGTAAGACGTGACTTAACCCAAACAGGGACTGTTTGTCACAGCTGGTGCTTCTTATAATTGTAACCTTATTTTTTTGGAGGAGTAGGGAGAGCCACAAGATTAATGTAAACTATTGCTACTGTCTAAGGGTTAGGTTTTATTCTTAAAAATGCAAGATGCACTACCGGTATCTGGAAAATGCCTCCAAGTGTAAATGTGACCTTTAGGGTATACACTATCAAACAGAAAATGCTTTCTATGGACAACAGGTGCCTTACAGAGAAATGGCTTAAAATCTAAAGATAGGAAGTCAATTCCTACCCAGATATTTTATTTGCAACACATACAGTACTGTAGCATAGAAGCTTCAAGACCAGACTAGAGGCAGGATGGGAGAACGGTTTCCCTTTTTATACTTTATACATACGTCTTTCATACCATAACCAACTTGAGAAGTAATTCTGTATTAATCCTTCTACAACATGCATAATCCAACCCACTCCCCCTCTCTCTAAGTGTGCACAGCTTGCCACAAGAGTACAATTTATACGAGACAACTATAACATGAAATTAATGGACAAATCTTTATACAAAATAGTCAAGTATCGAGAATTAGCAACGCCAAAAACGAGTGCAAAAATAATCTTGATAAAAAGCAGTCACCAAGAAAAAACTGCTGGAATAAAATTTAAAACTAAAGAGATTAAAAAAAATCTATGGGAGTGTTTTTGATGGAGGGGGAGGGATTTTTTTTCCCTCCTAGAAGTTTGTATGTTTTAGACCAGCATGGATTTGCATCTATTTTAACACATTTTAATGAAGTAATTTTTTTAAACCAGAAATTTGAGCTAGAATTCATCATGTTTTACCCTAAATGGCCACTTGGAATGCTGTGATACATGATCGGCAGCCAAAAGCACCAGGTACATAAATTCTTCCACATCAAATGAGTAGTTAGTAAACTTTGGGTGTTCTCCCAGTGTTGGGTGGTGTCCCTGGAAAAACGAAACAGGTTTATTATGCAAGCAAATCAGGCACGTCTTTCATTTGAAAAATGAGTGATCACCATTTTATTTTATCATCACCAATCCACTAGTAGATCTCCCCTAAAGAATCGCTGCAAGCAACTGACTTTGTAAGAGCAATGTTATTGACCACTTGAATTAATTACCTATTAATTCCATTTCTCTTCCTCCCCCAGCTATTAATATAAAATGACTCAAACAAAACAGAAAAGTTAATCTAGGCTAAAGCACAGTAATCATATTTCAGGCATACGAATCAAGAGGAGTAAGAATAAATCTACCTTTAAACAATAAAAAAAAAAGTGAAAAATAATGTCCTCCCCCCACGATTAAATGTTACCTGATCTTGAGGGAACACTTTGTTCTTTTTCTGCCAGGTAATGTAACGGATGCCTCGCAGCCTTGCTAAATCCAGGTAGCAGCGTTCATCCTCACAGTTGTACCTGGGGACATGTAGCATCACTGTCATTTTGTAGCCAGTATTTACCCACAACTGCCCTAAAGTCTATCAAGATGGATAAGTTTACAGTGTGCATGTTTGTTGTCAATGAATAAAACAAAGACCCTGGGCAATGGACCAAATCCTATTGTGGCTTATAACCTAGGTGACTCCATTCGTTTAAAACAGGATTAGCCAAGGTGGAAATAAATGCTCTTAATATTATGCAGTATAGTTGCCCTTAGTTTTTAAAAAGCCAGGGTACAACGTAACATTACTTTGCAGCACAAATACATATTTAAGTGGAACTACCAGAGAAATGTAGGTAAGACAGAATGCAAATAACTGAGCTGGAAGTTAGCCAGGATGTGTGCACAGAACCTCCTTACTCCTGTAGCAATAGTCATGGAATCTTTAAGAGTTAGAACTTTCATTTCCCATCTCATCTGACTGATTCACTGGGTCACTAAAATCCCCCATAGTACTGCTGCTACAGTGACTCAGGCTACGGCTACGCTGCTGCTTTTTTGCGGAAGAGGATATGCAGATAGCGCTCGCATTTGCATATCTTCTTCCGATTCTTTTTGCAGAAGAGGTTTTGCCGATTAAAAGCCCCATGCAGATGGGGCCATTTGTCAGAAAAAAGCCACTCTTTTGCAAGATCTGTTATTCCTCAAAAGTCAAGGTGTACAGGATCTTGCGAAAGAGGGGTTTTTTTCCCCCAACAAATGGCCCCATCTACACGGGGATTTTTATTGGCAAACCTCTTCCGCAAAAAGAATTGGAAGATATACAAATGCGAGTGTAATTTACATATCCTCTTCTGCAAAAAAACGGCAGCGTAGCCGTAGCCTCAGAGAAGAATTCAACTTACACCCCTCCTTTCTTTGGCATTTTCCCATCCAATGACTGAGTAGGCTCCTCCCTGCTTAGTCATGAGCTCCGTTGAAATCACAGACTTAGGTGGTGAGACTGTCATATAACAGATCTTCCTGCAAAAAGATAACTACCCTCAGCCAGTGAGTAGGCCTAAAATGTTTCGGTTCCAAGGGTGAAAGTTATGAGCAACTGAAGTAGGACTTTATAATGGAAGCACACAAGTAACCATATGGCTGTTGCTTTAAATACTAAAATATGGACAAGGGCATGCATATGAAAAAATATTTCAAGTTATAGAGTTAAAGAAAAACACAGACTTACAGTTCAAACACAACAGCCCAGTCTGGCAGAAAGAGTAAATGGGTAAGCCCAGCTCCATGCATTCCAATGAATATATCAGAGTTATGAGTGATTTTCAATTGTTCTGAAAATTCAAGTTCCCTGCAGACAACAGAATAGGTGTGGGTCACACATGCTCATCCATTTTAGCATAAATTAGATCTATGTAGCTAATGCAAAAATAACTTAAGGATAACATTGAAAAGAAGAATACTCCAAGCACTGATATATGTTAAACAATCTTTTAAATCAGGGGTAGCCAACCCGTTACAGGCAAAGAGCCAAAATAGTTGTGCATATAGCGCAAAGAGCCGGGGGGGAAAGTTGTCAAGGCGGAAAAAAAAAAAGGACACTGCCCCTTTAAAAAACCTCAGGTTGGTTTTTCAGCCACATCAGGCTCCCGTCGGCTCGTGCCATTTTGCTTCACCCACACCGGATAGCTCCCAGTGAGCTTAGGGGGAACTTTAAGGGGGGGGGGGATGTGCTGCATTGGCTCATAAGCCATGGGTTGGCCATGGCTGTTTTATAAGATAACTACTCAGTCCAGAACCAATTCAGCATGAAACTACAAAGACTGAAGGCTTCAGAACTTCTGTTGCAGATTTACCACTTTTTCAGATAGGCAATGGTATTTAATTGTGTTCCAATAATGATTCTTTGATCATTTGTTTGTTACATTCAGACACTCACTGTATTAGTCAGAATTTCTTAAAACCAAGGGTGGTACAGCAGACAAATCAAATAAAAATATTTAAAAAACGGACACTGAAGTGCACAGCTCCATCCTGAGGGTGCCGATATTGAGCTTCAACTCATCCTTAGGTCTAGCATGCAAAGGACTAGACCGGGAGTCAAGAGATGGGTCTTGGTCTGCCACTGATCTACTGTGTTACCTTGGGCAAGTCCCTTCACCCCAGTGTCTCTTTTGTCTATTTAGATTGTCTGTCCCTGCCCCAGAAACAGACAACGTGTGTATGCAGTGCTAAGCAAACAGGGCTGCAATCTCTAGGCACCAGTGACCCATGCCTGGCCTGGGCGAGACTGTGAAGAGCTTCAAAAAGATCTCACCAAACTAAGTGATTGGGCAACAAAATAGCACATTAAATTTAATGGTGATAAATGTAAAGTAATGCACATTGGAAAACATAATCCCAACTATACATACCATATGACGGGGACTAATTTGGCTACAACTACTCTAGAGAGAGATCTTGGAGTCATTGTGGATAGTTATCTGAAAACATCCACTCAGCATGCAGCGGCAGTCAAAAAAGCAAACAATGTTAGGAGTCATTAAAAAAGGGATAGAGAATAAAAAGAGAATATCTTATTGCCTCTGTATAAAACCATGGTACGCCCACATCTTGAATACTGCATACATATGTGGTCGCTTCATCTCAAAAAAGATATATTGGCATTGGAAAAGGTTCAGAAAAGGGCAACAAAAATTTAGGGGTCTGGAACGAGTCCCATATGAAGAGAAATTTAAAAGACTTGGATTTTTCATTTTAGAAAAGAGGAGACTATGGGTGGGGGATATGATAGTGGTCTATAAAATCATGACTGGTGTGGAAAAGGGAATAAGGAAAAGTTATTTACTTATTCCCACAATATAAGAATTAGGGGTCACCAGATGAAATTAATTGGGAAGCAGGTTTAAAACAAACAAAAGGAAGTTTTTCTTTACTCAGCACACAGTCAACCTGTGGAACTGCTTGCCAGAGGATATGGTAAAGGCAAGGACTATTACAGGGTTCAAAAAGGAGCTAGATAGATTCGTTGAGGTTAGATCCATCAATGGCTATTAGCCCGAATGGGTAGGAATGGTGTCCCTAACCTCTGTTTGTCTGGAAATGGGTGACAGAAGAAGGATCACATGAGGATTACCTGTTGTATTCCTTCCCTCTAGGGCATCTGGTATTGGCCACTGTCAGCATACAGGACACTGGGCTAGATGAACGGTTGGTCTGACCCAGTATGGCCGTTCTTATGATAACAGAAATTACAAAATAACCTACTGGAGGGAACTGGAGGCAATGGCCCTTTAGCCTCATGCCTCACACCTCACAGATCTCCTGAGACGCGCTGCTAACAGTGATCACCAACAAACCCAGAAGCGGGTGGGTGTGTAATGATTTTGAGAGATTTCAAAATGTATTATTCTCAACAGTGGTGGGTTCGTTCTGGGTCCTGTCAATCCTTGACCGACCTTTTTTAATAGCACACCGTGAAAGCAAGCGGAGAGAACTTAACTAGTTCACACTGTCATTCCTCCATAACACGATTACACTTTATATTGACGGTTCTTGCATTTTCTAAAAGCAGCTCAACGTACGTAGGAATCTTTCAGTAGGTAGGGGCAAGGCATAAGTTACTGGATTATAATCAAGCACAGCCAATAACACACACACTATTTTGATAATTTTCTACCAACATACGTACTTGTACTTGTAATCTACTACTCTGACCTCAAACGTCGATACTGTTTTCAAAGCATTCACCAGCTAGGAAGGAAAGAGGAAAATTTAACATGATACTTGTTTTATTTCCTTTCCCTAGCTGCTGTCTACTTTCCCCACACACCCACAAGGAATTATATTGGAGATGGCAACACATACTCCCACTGCTGTGTTAAAGGAGTTCCCCCCCCCCCCAATCTCATCACTCCAGATACCAGCACAGAGATTCCCTCATATTTTCCCATTTACAATTAGGTATTTTACTTCTTGAAGAGATTAAATGGACTATCTAATCCCTGACACTGCAGAAGAGCGGATTCAATTATCTCTGACACAAGCCCTTCAGAGCTGATATGGTAACAATGAAGACAGAGTGTGTTTTGTCATCATTGTCTTGAATGGGGCAGCACTGGACTCTTACAGACAGATTTTCAAAGGCATTTGGTACCTAAAAGGTGCAGATAGGCACCTGTTGGGATTTCCAGAAGTCCCAAGGGAGGATAGATGCCTAACTCAATGGGAAATTAAATTAATCCAATGGAAATCTGACTCCTGACTTAATTACGAGTTTTGGAAAATACCACCAACACCTCTCTCCATGCTCAGGCACCTAAGCATCCCTGAAAATCTAGCTGTTAGGCCTTGTCTACACTAAAAGGAAGATCACCACTGCCACGATCGATCTTCCGAAGTTTGATTTAGCCAATCTCGTTCAGACTTGCTAAATCGAACTCAATACTCCTATTGGTGTCCAGTACTCCTGCTTTTGTGAGGAGTAAGGGAAGCTGACAGGAGCATTTGCTCCACTGGCCTCCTGCTGTGGGGGTGCCGTCAAGATCCGCTTAAGGGTAAGGTGACTCCAGCTACATATTCTACATAGCTGGAGTTTTGTACCTTAAACCAACTTGCCGGGTCTAGTGTGCACAGAGATTCCCTCATATTTTCTCAGGGTCAGATTCTGGGCTCAGTCTTGCCCATATAAACCCAGTAATCCTCAATTTATTTTTTGCGTAATCCAGTTTTACACTGGAGTGACTAATTACTAACAATATAATTATTTCCAGTTTGTGCTAGGAAGTAAGACGAGAATTTGGCCTCAGTATTTAATATGGGGCTTAAGGCCCCAATTCAGGAAACAGTTAAGACTCATTGAACTCAACAGACTGTCTCACATGCTTAAAGCTAGGCACTTGCTTTTGTACTTTGATGAATCAGGGCTTTAGATACCTAATGCCATGCACTGCAATTAAAGTCTGCCCTGCCAGCCAACAGACAGTAACAGCAGGTCTTGTTAGTACAAGCCTGAAACCAAAGGTGCCTTCTAAAGATGACCTGCCACAGTGCCTAGAAATCACTCAATCTCTACAGGAAAAGTCACAAAGGATTTCTGTACGTAGAACCAAGTACAGCTTGCACACGTCTTACAGGAAATGTGAACTGTAAGGTCAACGGGTCACACGACATTTTACAAGCGATTTACCAGATGTATTTTGCCATTGGTTAGAACAGGCGCACTTCTGGGCTTTTAGGAACATTATTATTACTGGCTTTGAAGAAAACAGGCTCATGGAAGAAAGAGAGGGATTAAGAGTGTTTTTCTCCTATAATAGCAGAGTCAGGAAAAGATGCTCACCTCGCTTTTCGTGGGGCATGGCCATCATAAGAAAGCCTGTGACAAAACGGCAGCATAGTCTGGTGGATAGGGCCTGGAACTAGCACTCTGAAGATCTGGGTTCTATTCCTGGCTCTGTCACTGATATACTTGCATCTTAACATTTCTACAGCCTTGTTTATGCTTACCAGGAGATTGGCGCTGCAAGGATGTATTCCCCGGGAGTTTATTTAGTGGGTCTAGTAAAGACTGTCTGAATCAACCTCTGATTGTGCTCTCATTAACTCCGGTACTCCACCAGCTTGAGAGGCATAAGGGGAGTCAACAGGAGAGTTCTTTCCATTGATGCAATGGTAACTCAGTTTAAGTTGTGTCAACTCCAGCCACACTATTCACATAGCTGGAGTTGTGTACCTTAGTTTGACATTGCCCCCGAGTATAGACCTGGCCTATGTCTCAGTTTCACCAGCTGTAAAACGGGAATAATGCTGCTTAATCCACATTTGATAAAGCACTTTAGGAACAATAAGTGCAATATATATACACTAGATGTTGTCATTTGTTATTACAGGCAGTCCCCGGGTTACATGGAACCGACTTACATCGGATCCCTACTTACAAACGGGGTGAGGCAACCCCGCACTAGCTGCTTCCCCACAGCAGACCAGGGAGATGCGAAGCTAGCACCCCCCCTCCCTACCCCCCCCAGCAGACCAGGGAGACGCGGAGCGGCTTTTCTCAGCAGACACCTCAGCTTGAGAATAAAGGACTGAGGGAAGTGAGGTGTGGGAGAATAAAACTGAGCTCTGGAGAAATGTTTGGCCAGAGTTTCCCCTACAATATGTACCAGTTCCGACTTACATACAAATTCAACTTAAGAACAAACCTACAGTCCCTATCTTGTACGTAACCCAGGACTTCCTGTATAGGAATATGTCATTACAAACATTCTTATGTGATTTGAAAATGAGACGCAGGGTTCAAGTGATCAGAGATGATCACCTCTACAGTTTAGTCTTTTCACATAACATTTAATTAGTCTTCTGGTTTTCAGCATTGGTCTACCAAAAGAAATCTAAGTGGGGTCCATAGAGATGAAAATTTTAAAGAATAACATTTAGCCAAAGAAAATTAATATTTCAAAATCACACAATTACAAGCAGAGTGGACAGGAAAGCTTTAGACATGACACGTCTTGTTTTAGTAAGGCTTTGACACAGTCCCACACAACATTTTCCAAGCAAACGAGGAAAATTAAATCTAGATACATTTGTTCTAGGGATGGTGCACACTGCTTGAAAGACCATTTACAAAGATTACTTATCAATGGTTTGCTGTCCAGGGGTCAGTTCTGGGTCTGGTATTAGTCAGTATTTTTGTAATGAGTTGGCTAATCAAGTGCAGAGTAGGTGCATAAAATTTGCAGAGGATTCCACGATGAGAGGGGTTGCAAGCACTTTGGAGGACAGGATTAGAATTCAAAATGACACTGACAAACTGGAGAGTTGGTCAGAATTCAACAAGATGAAATACAGAAAAGTATTTCATTCAGGAAGGAAAAATCAAATGCACAACTACCAAATGGGGAATAACGGGCTAGATGGCAGCACTTCTGAGAAAGGTCTGGGCATCATCGAAAATCACAAATTGAACTGGTCAGCAATATGATGAGGTTGTAGAAAAGGCTGATATTCAGAAGCGTTGTACAATCTTCCAATAGGCTAAGAGCTGTTACAAAGGGGACTATGATCAGTTGTTCTGCATGCCCACTAAAGGGAGGACAAGAACCAATGAGCTTAAACTGCAGCAAAGGAGAATGAGGTTAGACAGGAGGAAAACATGTCTAACAAAGATAGTGAAGCTCTGGAACAGGCTTCTATGGGAGTTTGTACAATTCGCATCGTGGGAGGGATTTCAGAACTGCTGGACTATGATCGGTCAGAGACGACTGAAGTTTACTTGGCTTTGCCTATGAGCAGGGGGCTGAACTTGATGATGCCTGAGCCTTATATTTCTGTGATTGTGGGCATTCTTTAAAAAAAAAAAAAAACGCGCGCGCGCGCGCGCACACACACACACACACACACACACACACACACACACACACACGGCATTTCTGATCTCCTTCCCTCTACCTAGCCACAAAGGGCTACAAGTCTCTCAGCCTGCGATGCAGAAATGGATACTAGCTAGTCCCTCTCTCAGATTCATGTAAGGTTACCACTGACCCCGTTCAAGGTATACCAACAGATAATGTACACGTTTTATCAGAAAAACCTAATGCATCCTGCACAACACACACAATTTTTTCTTAAGGAAGTAGAATAACCCAACCTCATTCTGGTTCAATATTTTCCTGTAGTCAGTACTGCGTGCAAGGATTGTGACACGAATTTTTCCATCCTAAAAAGACAGAAAAAACCGCAATGACATATACCCATCCGCAGGGCCTGACTGACCAAAAAATAGTCAGTAAAACTGCCATGAAATGTTGAAAGGAAACCTATCTCCGCCAGGTCTGCAGAGAAGTTAAGTGTTATAGACACAGGAGTAGCCTTCATGTCCCAATGTGAATCGCTTGTCCTCACATACAGCACTAGAGCTGTGCAGTTACACTAATGCAGCTGCGGAACCGTAGTGCTTTAGTGAAAACGCTTCTACACCAATGGGAGAGCCTCTCCCATCAGCATAGTTAATCCACCTCCTTTGCAGGCGGTCGCTACGTTGGTAGGAGACAAGCTACATAGTTAGGTAGGTTAGGATGTTATAACTACAAAGGTTAAGACAGGGCTGGGTAAGGTGCGGCCCAGGGGCCAGATCTGGCCCTCACCACACTTCGATCCAGCTGGCAGACTGCATCTGTCTGCTTTCTATTTATATATTGCTGCCCATGCCACTACGTTTCCAGGCAATGGCTCAGGCAGCAGGATCCTATGTAAATGGCTCACAGCTCCCCAGTCACAGTGCTACCCCGGCAGGGCTGGAGCCGGGAGCCCTTTAAATTGTCACAGCAACACTGGGCGGCTGCCAGCCTGGGAGTCACGAGCCCTTTGCTGTGTCTTTATTTCAAAGCTTCCGGCCCCAGACAATTCTGGGGGAAGGCTAGTCCAGGCTCCTCCCGCTCTGGGGTTGGAGCCGGTCCATGACCACGTACCAATATTAATCAACTGGCCCTCCCTGTGAAAATTATTGAGTTAGGATGTTATAACTACGTCACTCAGCGGGGTGGGCTTTTCACACCCCTGATGGACAATGTTTTATTGATGTAGGACAGTGGGCATAGCTCTGGCCACAGTGACATAAAGCCCTCCAAAATGAGCAATATTTGAGTTTTCCAAAACATTGCCTATATTTTGCAAATGCGTGACCTGAACAACAATGAAATGGTTTTAACACGTATATATGTATTAGAGTCCAGAGGAATCACTGTCTTGCCCATTATAGGGGTATCTGAAAGCAGGAAAAAGTCAGATTTGTGCATCAGAACTGAGGGAAAAAGCTATTTTTTCTGCATAGCAGTCCCCCACCCCTCACCTTTTAAAAATCAGCTGGACCCTCAGGGGTAAATTTTCCAAGTGGAGCCCAGAGATTTAGCTACATGAATCCCATTAGTGCTAGTGGGAGATGCGCAGCTAAATGCTTGTGCACTGCTTTCAAAGTGGATCCCTTAGTGATAACTTGTAGGCTACTCTCTGGCAAACACTTCAGAGAAATCAAAACTGCTGTATCCATCAATGCAGCCACAGTAATGGTCTGAAAAAACAACAGGCGTTTTAAAACTGGGGCCAGCCTGATGGCACCATGCAGGGTTTGGAGGATCAGGTTTGATTGCTCCTTTCTCTGTTCCCAAGTCATCAGGGGCTGTGGGGGCTCTGGAGAGGCAGCACCTGAGGCTTTGTAGAAAGGAAGTGATCCTTGAATGGGTTAGCAGCGTTCTCCCAGGAGTTCAAGGGCAGCATCAGACAGCCACTCCTGAAAAAACCACATCCAGCTCTCCTAGCCCGGAAGGACATTTGTCATAACGCAGGTTCTCAGGGACGGGAGAGCTGACGTGGGGAAGCAGTGTTCTGAGGCCTCCTCCAGTGGGGAAAGGACATGGGAAGGCTGACATGTAGATATTTGCTAAAAGAACTTTACTAAACAGGCCAACAAAAGGTGCTCCCGAAAACCTCAGTGTGAGGGACTACAAACATAGCAATATCTGCCACTATTTTCAGCTTGGCACTCACAGCTACTTCTACTTACTAGGGTAAGAATTATGATCGCTTAAAGAAAAGAATGTGAGCTTCACACCAAGATTGTATCAGTCATACCTTGGGTCCTTCTTGTGTGATATTTAATCGGTGTAGCACATGCTGGGAAAACGCTCTAAATAATCCTGTACCGTGACAGCCAGAGATCTGAAATCAGAGAGGCAATTTAGACCATAATCAGGTGCTTCGCTTACAATTTATATTACAATGTATATACTTGTGATAACGCAACTAGATTTTTCCAGCCTTTGCTTGCTGAAGTTCTACGATGATATGAACACAGAGGGTCTAGTTTTCACATTGACAGGATAAAAAGCACTCACCAGTGGTGTATTGTAAAATAAGCCATATCGCATTCGAGGCAATAATGAAAACACTGCTTCCTTAAAGCATACCTGAAAGGGAAGATCATTAATGTGATGGTCACACTAATATACAGTTAAAGGGGCACATTCCAGACATTGTTTATATTAGGGACAGCCAGTGGAGGCATCAATCAAGGATTGTAATGCCATTATATTAGGCACTCTGAAAACAGACCAAAGGGTATGTCTATAAGGCAATCGCAAGGTGGGACTGCATCTTGAGTAGACATACCTGAGCTAGCAGTCATTTAGACAGCTTGGGTCTTGGAACAACCTGGAACTCTGGACAATTACACTCACAGAGCTAGGCTGGAAGGACTGAAGCCCACACTGTTGCAGTGTTACTATTCTAGGAACTGAGTAACTAGATTAAAGCTAACTCAGTTGCTGTTCCAGAGAACTCAGTCTACGATATTGACAAGATGCAATAGGCGGAGAAAGACAACAGAGGAGTAGGGGGAATAGTCGACAAGGTAATATTTGTTGTTTCAGGGATCTATAATCACAGGTGTTCATCTAGCTAAGCAGAAGGCAGCAATCTAGTGGTAGGCAGGTTTCCAATGAGGGATTTAAGAGTGGATAAGATGAAAGCAGAGAGATTTTTGAGAACAAAAAATCAAGGGTAGACTATATCCTACAGTCCTCATCTCTTGGAGGCAGAGTTGAAGGGGGCATGGAAAGAATATAATAGGCCATGCATATCAAACATAAAATCTGTATTCAGACACAGACGATAAACTTAGTCTAATGAAAACTATTAGATTCAGCATGAACGACAGCCCAAGAAAACCTTTAGGGCTTGTCTACATGGCAAGCCAAGGCGTGACTGTAGAGCACAACAGCTTGTCACACAATATCTCACTGTGTGAACCTTGATACAACATGTTAAAAGCTCCACTGCACTCTCTGATGTATGCCTTTTTCAAATATGTGCTGCTGAAGCAAAAAAAAACCCCACTCTTCACACGTCTTTTCTCTCAGAACCACAGAAATATGGCCTCGTCCACACAACACCGGCTGCCACTTCAGGGAAGTGTGTTAAAACACTGATCTTAATTTGTAGGGTAACCTTGCACCTAGTTATGTTATGTAACCAGGGTTAGGTGATCTTATGAAATACTGGCTTTTGGACTGCCTGGAAAACTCCACCATGGCACCCATTATTACACAATCCCTGTTATAGCCTAATATGCAATTCCATACCCTTTGAGAGTCATATGTTTTCAAGTGTACGATGTGAGAGTCAGTAAACGCCTTCCAGGTCTCATTGAACAAATCGCCATAGCCATACGAGCTCTAAGAGAGAAGAGAAAACACACATACATACATACAATGAATGAAGTAACAATCTATGCATTCCATATATTAGTTCGGGTTCCTATACTGGCTCCATCATAGTAAGCCTGGAAGAAACTACAGAAGTTGGCAATTTCTAAAACTGACAATCGTGTTAGCTACCCGGCAATGAATCAACTCAATTTACAACAGGCAAACATCCTAGCCTAGACAAACCTGAAGAAGTGGAGAGACCTCCCATTCCTGACTGATATCCAGCACCCCATCTTCTCCCCAAAGACCAAAAGAACAGTGGATGTGAGGTGGTGGGGCCGAGGGGAGGATGGGTATGTAAAGTAGGGCTGCTGGGATGAACAAACCTATTTGTGAATGCATGCGCAGAGCTGGCGTTTGAAGAGTTACTGTAAGTAACTGCTTCAGATCCACCTTGACTTTGGGACAGGCTCCAGGTTTGAGAGAGACACTCTGCACATGGCTACCTGCTTAAGTGACGCACGGAGTGGCTACTTGATTCAGCTAGTCGGCCTTTGATGAAAATATTTTTATTTGCTGGATGAAACAACAGGCTAATTTGTGACTAAATGTGGCACTACGTGTAACAACTTGTCACAGTACCTCGTAAGGTTATGGTAAGCCGCCGGATCACATAAAGAGGTTTGGAAGCCAGTAAGGTGACATCAGCTCTACAAACTTTGGCTGATGTGAGTTAAGGTCTCAGAAGTTAATACATCACTCCTGAACACTGGGCTGCTTGTGTCAGCGCTGCACATACTCATAAGGAAGCATTTGGACAGCATACTATTTGGTCAGGACTGCTGACAGGAGGGTGCATGAAAGGGGGAAGATGACAGATGCCCCAGGGCCCAATGATTTAAAATGGCCCGGGGCCCCCTGTCTGCCAACACTGCTACCTCTCCCCTTTCTGACTGGTCTCTCCATCTCTTCAGGATTGTCCAGACCGGAACGTTTGAGGCCAGATGGGGGGCTGGCATTACTGCAAAGTGACCACTGCACACGGTTCTCCTGCCCTCAGGTTTCACCGGCAACAGCAGCGGCAAGAGTCCTCGGCCCTTTGAATTACTGCACGAGCCCTGGGTGGTGCTGAAGGGCTAGCTGGGGGAGCCGGCCCTACCCCTTCTGTCTACCCTACCCCTCCTTCCTGAAGCTCTGTCCCAGCCCTACCCCTTCTGTCTACTGTACCCCTTCTGCCTGAAGCTCCGTCCCTACTGGGAACCCCACCCACACCCTGCCCAGGACGTGGCAAAGTCTGTCTGACGGCCTGCACTGGATAGAACTTACCGAGTTAGGTTGCTGTAAGGTAGACCAGGTGCTCAGGGAGTTGATTTTACTGCATTGCCATAGTGGGACACCTGTGTCGACTACAGACACGGGCACAAATAGGTCAACGTACATCACTCTGTGCCAGCCTAACTCTGTAGCCCTCACACAGTTGGTCTTTTAGCTCAAGCAGTAGAGGCTCATGCTGTCAGATCTAAAGGGTCTGAGTTCAATCCTTGCAGGTCATCACATTTCTCTATCCCTGACCTCCACCTTACCACTGCCCACCCCAGCCACAGATATTAATAGATCGCTAACACGTATGGAACAAAGATATCAGTGCTTTCTTTTGGACTATAATTAGAGATGGCCTCAGGAAGCTGGAAGCAGATAGCTGTTTGCAGCACATACACTTTTTTTGGGGGGGGATGTTGCAGATATTTTGCTTATCAGTCTTCAATGTTAAATGAAAATAATTTTTAATAAAAACAATTTTTTTTTACAAGAGACTAAAAAAAGATTGCAAGACACAGCAGGCAGCCAGTGAAATGTAACAAAATCTAAAGGATGGCATATTTCATTAGTTTGCAGCTTTGCTTTGTTCCCCCCTCCTCACCCCCAATGAAGTTTTAATGAATTTCAGGTTCGATATTATTCTCCAGCAGCTTGTGTTATAGGAACTGCTCTTCCAGAACAGTAGTAAAGCACTGATCTTCAAAGCTGAAAGCTCCACGCCTATCACGGCCTACTCTCCATAAAAGGGGAATTTATAAATGTCACTTTTTAATGTGGTTGAGGGTGGGGAGTCTGCAGACAGATTCCCGGCGTATTTCCTGTTTGTTTTCTGCTTTACTTTGCCCACATCTAAGGGCATTTCTGATTAATAAGGGCATTACAGCAATTCTTCAATAGCCAAAAAGTATGTGCATATGTAAGTATATTAAGAAAAAGAAAATCAATAATAAGCTGGAGTCTGCCTTTTAGAAACCAGATGCCTTTCAGCAAATCAAGAAGTATCTTGGTGCCATCATCTGGTGGCAGGAGGTAATAAATTCTGTCTCAACAAAAGTGACATATTCCAGTACATACAAAATGGCACTTCTTTTGTGTTATGCATTTGTGAGAAGTAATAAAATGTTAAGACACGAGTAATACAAGAATAGGAAAAGTGTCTGTTTTTAAAAGGAAATCATGCTGATGCTTTGATATACCTGATCTCTCAGGAAGACCACAACTTTTTTTCCCCCTATGTCCCTAGTGAAGTTATAGAAGCTCTGTGTCAGGGAAGACTGATGTTCATATTTTATAGGTATTGGCGTCCAATATATTAAAGAAGCTAGAAACAGGTTACTTTTGTCTGATTTGTCAAGGAGCATTCACATTGAAGAGCACGAAATATACCCCCGAGACTTGGCAATTCTAGGCAGGTTAGCATTCAGATGGTGTTAGCACTCACAGAGAATGCAGAAAATAGCTCTTAAAAATAAAATCCTGCATTGATTTGAGACAATGTTCTGGAGAGGTGAAATTTCTGGACTGCAATGTTATTGCTAATTTTTCAACTAAGCGATTAAAAAAACCGATTCTACATTATTCAGTACTGGTTAATACACATTTCCCCATGCATAGCAGACACAAATTGCCATAGGTTCAATACAGCAGGGCCACTGAAATGTTTCAGTTAAAAGTCATGTGATTAGGTGGGACTCATTTATTTTTTAATGTCCTAGAAGCCCATTTGAAGGTGATGAACAGAACTGACTACAAAGAGACTGTTCATGAGCTAGCCAATAAATAGCAATGTTTATGGTGTTTGCATTTAAAAAAATATATAGACTGCATATTACTGGTGTTGGTTAATTTGTGTGTCCTGGTTTGTACTTTAGGGGTGAGATTTCCCAAGTAGTCTCTCCCTGGTTTCTTTATCATTACTTGGGAGGTGGCAGCAGAGTTTTATCCCCCAAAATCTAGGTTAAGATTTTTTTGGGGGGGAGAGTCAGGTTAACAGGTCACCAGTGCAGCTGTGCTGGCCAGGACAGGGTTAAACACCTCCATGCTGTGTGGAAGCATTTAGTTGAGTTGGCCAGCAGAAAGGCCCAGAAATGTGTGTTTGCTTAGGGCCTGCGATGGATGAATTCAGCCTTTCGTAGCTGGAGTGCTGGTTTCCAGGGGTGCTGCTCAAGTAACACACAACACACTGTGCAACATAACTGGTACAAGCATCTAAAAAGCAAGTCCTACTTACAGTGTCCCACATGACAATGGTGACATCTGTGCTGAACGAGTTGTTAATATGCTGAGTGATATAGAGATTGACGAAGTCACAGAAGTGATGGTACATATTAACACCTGAGAGGAGAAAGAAAAGTGGTTTACCAATAAAGCAGGAGAGTACATTCCCATTTTTTAAAACATTTGTGTTTATTATTCACAGGGAAATTATTAAATACATGCCCTATTCGGGTGTAGAGACAGATCTGGGTTTTATGTTAGTTTTACTCTTTATGTGACTCAGAACTACTTATCTGCCTTAGAGATGCAGAACTTCAGAAGGGATGGGATCACATGAAGAAAACTCTGAAGTAAGCCCATATTTTAAGAAAAATCCAACAGGCAGGGAAGCCAAAAGCAGGAAAAACTGAACCACAAAATAAACTTCTTTGAATTCACATTTGCTATTGTGATTTTTCAGTGGTATACTAAAACCACTACCTCAATACTGGTACTGCACTGTCCAGATGCACATGGCAAATACCAACACTAAGACTTCAACAAAATGTTTTCAGGCTTTTTTTTAAAAAAAAAACCAAGGTACAGTTTGGGACAGTAACTACTGTCACAATGTTACTTAGCCAGCTCCGGCTCCAAAGCATGTTTCAAACAGACTCCTGAGCACAGTGTTTTTATTCACTATTTAAAAAAAATCTAATCCACTTGCCTAAATACCAGACTAAATATTCTCTTCTACTAATGTGACATCTCTAAAATAAAGAACATTAAAGCTAAGATCAATAAATTGCAGAAATGCTAAAATATTCACAATGGAAAGACCTTCATAAGCTACTTGACGTCTCTTCTATGATATGGTGCAGCAGAGCAATCACTAGATATTACATACTTTGCAGCTGATTTTCACTTAATTCAAAGACTGAAAAGATTTTTTAAAAAGCAAAACTTTTTTAAAGTAGTAAAACTACATAAAAAGTAATTTGATTTGGTTCTCTTCATGAAATATAAGCCTTCCATCATCCCATAACTATTACGTACCTATGTATGCAGATGCTGCAATTACTGAACTCATATAGCCAATAATAAATTATGTTTATTCCCAGAATGTGAGAGTGAGATAGGACTTTGAGATATGAGTCAAAGTCAAAGTGTCACGGAAGTGGTATGAAACTTTTCTGGTGTATTTTAAGCATCTGTTAACAGAACAAAACTTGCACTTGGTCACAAATCTCACAGATTTGGTTGAACTATGAAAAGGGAGTGAAAAATAAAGTCTTACAGTCTCACTTCCTCGTTCAAATATCTATACAAACTACATACATTTTTGGAAGGAGGGAGGTGTGTATGAAATTCAATCTGAATACGTAATGCAAATGGACACTGCATTATCACACTGTAGGATGCAGTAAAATAATACCTGTTACCTGCATCTAACTTCATGAAGTAAGTTGGCTTTTCAATAACAATGTCACATTTGCCATCTTCTATAGGTCTGAAGCTTAATGGAGTATATGTCTGGAGTTCAGCAAACCTGAAAGTGTTCAATGACATGTAATATGCTTTTCAAACCATGTGTCTGAATACAAAAGTACCTATTACACATTCTCAGTTTGACAACAGTTCATGGAATAATGCTGCCAAAGTTGGATAAAGTTTGACAATTAAAAATAATTTTAAATTGTAACTCAGGGTGTTAGGTCATTAGCTTTGAAAGGTTAAAAGATCTGCCTTTGATCTCAGGAGCAAGCAGCATCTCTGATCTACAAATCAACCTAGCAGAGAACTGTGAAAAGAGTCTTTCCTTCCATCCATGTATCCAGGGTAAAGTTAATGTGAATACATTTGTGTCTGTCCACCTTGTTGATCTGCATTTAAAAGGCATTTCACTGCAGACCTCAAGGCTTTGGTGAGATTAATGCCTGCAGGTGAAAAGCTGATTAAGTCTGCAGCCAGTTAGAAGGGTTTGTTTTGCGGATAACCATCAGTCTTGCCTATAGATAGCCATCTTTCAAAAATGGATCAGAGGTTCAGATGGCCCTGAGATTACTGGTCACAGGTGAGACAATGAGGTTAAATATGGCCAGAGAGAGGAACTTAGGGGAACTCTGGTGAGATCAGAGAAGGAACAAATGGAAGCTGACATGGAGGGAAACTTAGGCCAGGTCTACACTGGTGGAGAAAATCAATGCAAGATATGAAACTCTAGCTACATAAATTGCGTAGCTGGAGTCAACATACCTTGCACCAATTTCTGGGGTAGCCTCACAGCAGGAGATTAATAGGAGAAATGTTTCTATCGACTTCCCTTAATCCTCGTGACAGCATGGAGTACCGGCTACATGTGGGGGTGCTCTCAGCATTCGATTTAGCAAGTCTTTAGTAGACCCACTAAATCAAACCCTGCAAGATTGATCACCCGAGCGTCGGTTGATCCCCCCAGCAAGTGGAGACATGGCCTTAGATCTTAGTTGATGGCTCCAGTCGCATCTGCCCTAGAGATTAACCTGTGACTGTGGATATATTTATATGGTGTGGGGTCCCAGGGCAACAGAGCCCAAACTGGCATGGGCCAGTCATAGGTTTAATTGCTGTGCAGACAAACCCTCTGTGACAGTAGCACTTCAAGCAGCAAAAGAGCAATAAATCCCATGCTGCCTCACTCCAGGATGAGTGTCCTCACAAAGCACTTCCCTGAAACTGTCCCTTAGTCCTGTAGATTGTTGCACTCATCCCATAATTTCAGGCAAAAAATTAGCTATTGAGGGTACAGGAGCGTAACATACAGACATCATGTAGGCCCCAGTTCAGCAAAGCACTTATGCTCAAAATTGACATGCTTAGCTGACCTAGGTAACAGTGCTTTTCATCCCTAAATATGAAACCACTATACACAAAGGACTTCTCATTACTGACTCATTCTGCAGATGGGCTCTGCTATGCATACTCGAGTGGGGATTCAATTTGCACTCACTTCTTATTTCCGAGAGTCAGTATTCCGCAGCATGTAACACATCAGCACTAAATGCCTGAGAACTGCTGGTGCCAAAGAAAGGCAAGTGGAGAAAGAACAGTAAAAACCCAAAGTTGGAAATAGCTCCAATCCAAATCATACCAAGACTGCAGCGGGCTCTTGCGCTGACCTTCAGCCATGAATGCTTGACTGTCTAAGTTACAATGACCTCCGATTTGTCCGTTTGGAAGAAAGTCTTCCTTGAATCTAATGCAAAGGAATAAACGCACATTAACATAAACCAACTGGCCCCGCGTGAGAGTTCAAGAGGGGCCCAGCCCAGAAGTGGAATACCAGGAGCAATGCACATTACTATTGAGATACAATGCTACTCTACTTGGATAAGCCTGCACAGCATCCAGCTCAGGCAAATGCAGTTAGGTGCTAGCTCGATTCAGCAAGGTACTTAAACATGTGCTTAAGTTTCAGCACAAATAGTCCCCCTCCCGCCCCCCGACTTAAACAAAGCTATTCACGTGCTTAACATGAAACATGTACTTAAGTACCTTACTGAACTGGGGTCTTCTTTTCACTTTCTGGGCATTATATTCACCCACAAAAATCATGTAATATAAATGATTATTTATTTTCATATACAGGCAGTCCCCGGGTTACATGGATCCGACTTACATCGGATCCCTACTTACAAATGGGGTGAGGCAACCCCGCACTAGCTGCTTCCCCCCAGCAGACCAGGGAGACGCAAAGCTAGCGCCCCCCCCAGCAGACTAGGGAGATGCGGAGCAGCTTTTCTCAGCAGACACCTCAGCTTGAGAATAAAGGACTGAGGGAAGTGAGGTGTGGGAGAATAAAACTGAGCTCTGGAGAAATGTTTGGCTAGAGTTTCCCCCTACAATATGTACCAGTTCCGACTTACATACAAATTCAACTTAAGAACAAACCTACAGTCCCTACCTTGTACGTAACCTGGGGACTGCCTGTAGTACAAAAGGGTAGAATTTTACCAGACTACAGAAAAAAACCTGGAGATTCCTCCAATTCAGAATATCCTTGAGCCAATTAATACAATACATTTTGTGCTACTACAAGAACTGAGATTGCAAAAGATATTTATACTATTGCACAATGTATTTATACGATTACTGCAACATTTATTTATACTATTACAAGAATTGGGATTGGTGTTTTTTTGAATGCTATTTTGAACTGTTAATAACAGTTCGAAATAGCATTAACAATTCAAAATAGCACTCGAAAAACATAGCAATGCCATACCTTGAATATCAATAGGGATATTTTTCAACAACTAACAAAAAAATTTTCAGCTAGGTTTAAATGTGTGCACTAGTTAAAGGGACATCACTAACTTTTGTTTTTAAAGTCATATTTTCAGAGTGGAAATGTTTGCTCTTCTAAGACAAATAACACAAGATTAACAGAAAAGATTCTTAAAGTTTATCAATTCTTAAAATATCTTTATTTTGGGCCTCTCCTGACACAGCCTGTTCAGTTTCACAGTTTCCTCTTGTGCAAAGTTAGCCCTCAGTTCAGTAGTGAGCGACACGGGGGTGGAGTGTTGTACCCATATGGAGCTCAGTACAGAATATGGACATAAGTTTTACCTATTTGTGTAATTACAGTAACACATTTTACCACGAAATGACTAACAGGTGATAAAAGCATGTTAAAGACATGAGTAGCATGTGTTATTTTGTAATTGCATGCCAGCATATGCTGAAAGGAACTGTTAAAACCAACCTAGTGATGTGTTGGGTTCTAATTATTTATTAATGTATTATTAATACATATTAATCATAAATTAACCCTTTTATAAATTATTATAAATCTAACCTTACTAGTAAGTGTGATCAAGCACACAGCACTAGAAGTGAGAAAGATGCATATATATATTTTAAATAGGAAAATGTGATTGTGAACCCAAGAAATATAGACAGAGGCTCAGGGCAAGTGTAACAACAAAGTACCTTGAACTCATGTTTTTAAATTTCTTTAGAATTTAACTGCATCCCTTTAAAATGATGTGCACTCTAGACAGGCTTAATTGACTACACTGCTTTTGCCAATGGGCACATTTATTTTAAGGAGGAGACCCAAGTATTTCCCCAAACCAAGTTGCTCATAGGAAAAAAACACAGATGTGTGTGGTGCTACAGTTTCTATCCCTGAGAATTTCAACGAGAAAGGTGCTGCCAGTCATGGTAAATGCAACACACCAAAACTGCCCTTCCTGAAATCTACCCATGTGATTGATATTCAAGGTCCAGATCCTGCAAAGATGAGCACTATTTTACATGTCATCCTACTGACTTCAGTAGGGACTATTCGCCATGTGTAATGTCTCAAGCCTCCCCAGTAAGCTGTCTGGTTTAGGCCACGGTAACCCTGGGAAGAACCCAGCACAACTAGGCTTTGGGGCTATAGATTTTGAAACTCAGATACTACGATGACATATGCCCTAGCTAACTGCAGAGACGGAGATTTATGAAATATGCATTTTAAAGTGTATTTCCCCAGGTATTTCCTGGCATTGCTGGAACATAAGCAATTCAGAGACCTGTCATGGTTTCGCTTTATGGCTCTTAAATCAATGTACAAGTTTGTTGCTCTACAATGCTGGAGGTACTGTGAGCAGGCCAGAGATGAATCGCCCTGTGCAAAAAGAACAAGTAGGGATTGATTAAAATAAGGTAATATTAAGAGCATAAGAACATAAGAATGGCCACACACTGCCAGACCAGTAGTCCCTCTAGCTCAGTATCCTGTCTTCTGACAGTTGCTGGTGCCAGATGATTCAGAGGGAATGAACAGAACAGGGTTATTATGAGTGATCCATTCACTATCCTCCAGTCCCAACTGCTGGCAGTCTGAGGATTAGGATCACCCAGAGCAAAGAGCTGCATGTCCCTGACCCTCTTGGCTCATAGCCATTGGCAGACATATCCTCCATTAATTTATGTAATTCTTTTTTGAACCCAGTTATACTTTTGGCCTTCACAACATCCTCTGGCAATGAGTTCCACAAGTTGATTGCGCATTGTGTGAAGAATTACTTACTTGGTTTCTTTTAACATGTACTGGCTATTAATTTCCTCAGGTAACCTCTGTTTCTTGTGTTATGTAAAGGGGTAAATATTACTTACCTATTCACTTTTTTCACACCATTCACAATCTTATAGATCTTTATCTTATCCCCCTTTAGTGACCCTTTCCAAATGGAAGCTGTTCCATACACCTAACATTTTTATTATCCTTCTTTGTATTTTTTTCCAATTCTAAACAATCTTTTTGAGATGGGGATACCAGAATTGTATGCAGTATTCCTGGTGTGAGTGTACCATAAAATCATAACACACTAGAATTGGAAGGACCCTCAAGTGGACATCAAGTCCAGTCCCCTGTAGTCACGGCAGGACCAAGCACCATCTAGATCATCCCTGATAGATGTTTATCTAACCTACTCTCCAATGATGGAGATTCCACAGTTCATTCAAGTGTTTAACCATCCTGATGGTTAGGAAGTTTTCCCTAACGTCCAACCTAAACCTCCCTTGCTGCAATGTAAGCTCATTGCTTCTTGTCCTATCATCAGCAGTCAAGGAAAACAATTTTTCTCCCTCCTCCTTGTAACACCCTGTTAAGTACTTGAAAACTGCTATCATGTCCCCTCTCAGTCTTCTCTTTTCCAAACTAAACAAACCCAGTTCTGTCAGTCTTCCTTCATAGACCTTTAATAATTTCTCTTGCTTTGCCCTGAACCCTCTCCAATTTCTCCACAATTTTTTTGAAATGTGGCTTATGTAGTGGCATTATGTTTAACGATGTATGAAGACTGCACTATTTATAAGTATATCAAAATACTTACCTTTGTTATAGGCTTGCAGTGAGTTTTCATTTCATCCAGCCTTTCTTTAACATAACCAAAGTCAGCTTGCTTCCAAAATATCTGCTGAGCTGTCTCAATGTCATTAGCCCTGATGCATGGAAAAAACCCAAGAACCTTCATTTAATACATTTTAGCTTTCTCAAGTTGCCCTTTAATTCAAGCTGCAGGCAGATGCCTGAGAAATTAATTTTATTTATCCTCATCTTCATTTTATTATACCTTATTTGACTGGCTAGTTTTGTGAGATCTCAAAACTAGCCAGTCAAATAAGGTGTAATTTTTTTTAACAGTGAGAGCAATTAGCCATTGGAACAATTTGCCAAGGGGGACTGTCTATTCTCCATTACTGACAATCTTTAATCAAGATGGATGTTTTTCTAATAGGAATTATTTGCAGGGGTTTCTATTGCCTATGTTACGTAGCAGGTTGGACTAGGCGATCACAACAGGTCCTTCAGGCCTTAGAGTCTATCAATTTATGAAAGCAGAGCTATAAAAACAATATTTATGCCTCTTTTAATCGATGCAATGGAGAGTGGAAACAACGCAATTGGTGGTTAATGGCAGGTTCTCTTCTGTTTTTAATTCCTACAAATTACAATGGACAATCTCAGACTAGACAGATAAAAATAGGCAAGTAAAAATGAAAGATACACAAAAAGGAAAGAGTAAAAAGGAAATAATGGTAGTTATGATGCCACAGATCTTGTAAAACAATCCTCACTGTATGGCTTAGCACTGGGGCTAGAAAAAGGACAAACAAGCTCTTCAGGCCAAATTTTAATAGAAATCAAAACTGCAGGCACTAACTTTAGATTGGGCATCATAGACACAGGGGGTATGTCTAGACTACATCCCTCTGCTGCCAGAGGGATGTACATTAGACTTACCGACATTGCAAATGAATCGGGGATTTAAATCTCCCGCACTGCATTTGAATAAAAATGGCCGTCACGTTTTGCCAAGTCAGCAGTTTGTTGGCAAAAAGCGGCTGTCAAGACAAGGATCGGGCGACAAAGAAAGCCTTTGTCAGCCAATCCTGTAAACCTTGTTTTACGAGGCATATGGGATCAGCCGACAAAGGCTTTCTTTGTCACCCGATCCCTGTCTTGACAGTCGCTTTTTGCCGACAAACTGCTGACTCGGCAAAGCACGGTGGCCATTTTTATTCAAATGAAGCGTGGGAGATTTAAATCCTCACTTTATTTGCAATATCGGTATGTCTATTTTACATCCCTCTGGCGACAGAGGGATGCAGTCTAGACATACCCTGGGTTGGGAACATGGCCTGTAACTGAAAATATAATTCCCCTAACAGAATGAGAGGGATCTGACAACCGTCTTGAGAGAAGAGAGAGCCTGCTCTGTATACTGACGTTATTAACACATAAACCAGAACAAAAGAGCCAGCCAACGTATTGTCTTTTATCTCCATTCAGTTTCAAAACAGGAAACTTATCAACTGGATACAGGCAAAGACATCAAGTGAAGTTTTCTTTTCTTTTTTAAGCCATGAAAAAAAGGCACTTGAATTCAAGGCTATATTATAACAAAGAAGCCAGTTTGTATAAATAGCAGGACATTAAGTATTTCAAAGTACACTTTTTTCCCCCCTGAAAAAGTTCAATATTATGTAGGTCTCCAATGGAAAATAATAGAGTATTGACAAAAATCCTCCATTAGAGAAGATTGTACAGTGCACGAAAAAGTAAGTGAACTCAAGTTTCAGCATAAATATGAGTATCATATCTTAGGGACCTACTGCACTTCTACACATTTAAAAGAGAAACTTACCATCCTGTTTCAACATAATCACACACCGGGTAACCAAACCTGTATTCTGGCTTGCAGGATCTCTCATAGCCCCAGCAGGATTTTAGCTTCTTCAGGTATTTCTGTAACACAGGAGATCCCCATTGAGAACAACTGACTTATTAGATTATATTTCAGATGACTTTAAAAAAATGGTTAACAGTTTCCTTGACAGTCTTGTATAAAAACCTTTCCATTTTATATTCTCTCTCACAACACCAAAAGGAACTGCTTAGATTATCTATTTATATTTTGGGCCCCCGTCTTGCAAACACACACACATTTTTATGCACAAATATTATTCCCATGGACTGCAACAGGACTATATGCACGAGCTGGACACGTGTATAGTGTTTGTAAGATTAAAGCCTAGGTATTTAACATTTCAGTATATCTGACATAAATCTGGAGGTGACGAGCAAACTACATCAGCCTGGTAGAAAGTCAAGAAACTTTCTAACAACTGTATTTAGTATACAAAGCTTTTTTCCTGTGTATGAACATGCTGTTCAATTTAAACAGGTCTCTCTTTTTTTGACTGTATAATAATGGTTTGTGATGGGGATTTCTCAGGAAGGAAAAATTTGGGGGAGGGTCAGTACTTAGGCACTCAACCACTCTCCTTTTTTCCAGGGGCAAAAAGGGATTTTCCCTTTATACAGGGTTTGTGCCCCTCTTTCTGTAGCTTGAGCTCACTGGACATTTGCACTTGCTCAAAAGCATCAGCCAGAGTTTCTAATATAGACTTCAAAGATTTGTCCCACAAGCTACTTCTTACATTTATAATCAAGGAAAGTTCCCCGAACAAAGAAATCAAGCAATTGGTCATAATCCTCAGGTCCAGGCCCTTTTAGCTATTTTTTCATTAGGTCACACATCTTATAAACATACTCACTATGATTCATATGCCAACACCCTTTTGTTAGATTTCTAAATTTCAAACGATACACTTCTGGAGCAATTTGAAACCTTTGTAGAGCAGCTCTTTCATATTCAGAATATTGTGAAATTTCCTGAATTGGCATTTCATTGAATGCATTTAAAGCTTTGCCACTCAGTTTTGCAATCAATGCGCGGATTCCTTGTCTTCAGGAATATATGAACCTCACAAAGCTTTAGAAAAGTGGCGAGATATTCCTTGGGGCAGTCTTTTTGTGTACAGGACGCAACTTGTCTGGGCTTGGGACCAGATAGAAAAATAGGAAAGATCCCAGAGTTACCAACACCTCGCTCCGCTCAAGGAACCGATCACATTTCCTCTCCTCCTCCTTTTCTTTAGCTCTTTGTCTTTCAGCTCCATGGCTTTTCATTTATGGGCTTCAGTTCCTTGAAGTATCAGCTCCATGGCTTGCCTGTGGGCACTTGCAGGGCAGAAACTAGTTCTTTCAGTCTCATTTCTACCTGCCACACCTGGTTTTCATGTTCTTGCTCCCCTTCTTCCACCTCCAATCTGTCTAACTATAGCTTGGCAGTTGTAACACTGATGCTCATTTTTATGCTTTACTGTTTCCATTTCAATTACTCAAAAATATGCAATCAGAAAATAACTTTCCCAGTCATACTCGAGACCCATTTAAAATCTCTGTGCCAGTGGCTAAAACATTTAAATGCCATATAAAATAATGAGCTGACCACTCACCTTGCTTGTTGCACCACTGTGACATATCCCAGATATAATCTGGACTGATAAACAGCTGTCACCTCAGCTCTCTAGTCTGACCTAAGGTGCCTTTAACACTGCATCACTGTTCGAGCTATCACTCCTGGTCTGCTCTCACATAGTCTCCATCCAGCCTGTAAGTTACTCCCAGTTATACGGTCTCACAGGGGTAGCCATGTTAGTCTGTAACTTTAAAAAAAAGATAAGTGGTCCTATAACACCATAGAGACTAACAAATTTATTTATATAATATTTTTGTTAATCTCTAAGGTGCTACAGGACCACCCGTCTTTTTTTTTAAAATTTTCTCCCAGTTATACTGTATGGCTACAATACACTGGCGGCTTCTCGTGCAAGAACAGCTGTTCTTGCACAAAAACTTGCCGGGTGTGTCCACTGCATGCGCGTTCTTGCGCAAGTAAATTTAAAGCACAGCATCAGAAAACAAGGCTTCTTCCGGAAGAGTTATTCCTCTCCCCACGAGGAATAAGCAGTGTAGACAGGCAACGTGAATTTCTTGCACAAGAAACCCCTATGACTAAAATGGCCATCAGAGCTTTCTTGTGCAAGAGAGCATCCGTACTGCCATAGACGCTCTTGCGCAAAAGCACGTGCCAGTGTAGACGCGCTCTTGTGGAAGACTTTTTGCGCAAGAACTCTTCTGCAAAACAGTTCTTGCTCAAGAAGCTACCAGTGTAGAAGTAGCCTTGGAGTGCAATAACTAGCCACTCCTGAATTACACTGCAGAGTGACACTAGCAAACTCCCAGGCCAAGACTTTCCCCAGAAACGTGCATCTTGAACTGCCCAGCTCTCTCCTGGATAAAAGCTGCTCATACATCAGCTATCATTTTATGAATATGCACAAATCCTGTTGTCTCAGTGGAGTTTCCCAAACACTTCAGCTACGTCTACACTGCAGGCTTTTTGCGCAAACACTGTTTTGTGCAAAAGTTCTTGTGCAAAAGGTCTTGCGCAAGAGCATGTCCACACTGCCATGCGCTTTTGTGCAAGAGATGTTCTTTCGCGCAAGAGTGTCCATGGCAGTGTGGACGCTCTCTTGCGCAAGAAAGCTCTGATGGCCATTTTAGCCATAGGGGTTTCTTGCACAAGAAAACCCTGTTGCCCGTCCACACTACTTTTTTGCACATGAGCTCTTGCGCAAGAGGGCTTATTCCTCGTGGGGAGAGGAATAACTCCTGTGCAAGAAGCCCTCTGTTCCGACGCCTTACTGTAAATGTACTTGTGCAAGAACGCACGTGCACTGTAGACGCTCTGCAAGTTTTTGCACAAGAACACCTGTTCTTGTGCAAAAAGCCTGCAGTGTAGATGTAGCCTTCAATTCAAACACACTGGCTTAGGTAAAGTAATAAAACAGATTTATTAACTACAAAAGGATGCATTTTAAAATAAAAATAAAATGCAACTAATAGCTAACTAGAATGAATTCAAAGTAGGGTCTCTCACCACTTTTCAGCAGTTCTACTGACTGAATTTCTTTTTCAGTCTGGACCTACCCCCCATCCCACTCCATATCTTCTCCCCTCTCACCCCTCCCGCCCCCCAAGTCCATGCTGCTTACTTTGCTATTCAGGTGACATCGAAGCTCTGGGCAGGGAGAGGAGGAATTATTTGGGGCATCTGCCCTCCCTTATAGGTTTTAGAGAAGGGTCTCCCGCTGAGGCTCAAGAGAAAGTCTGTGAGACAGGGAACCCCAAGCTGTTTCTTTGTAGATTTTTCACCATGTCCATTTTCCTGACAATGAATAGCCACTTAAGCAGGTGATGGGTCATTTGGCCTTGCTTACATATGGCTGAGGTGTCGGCTTGCCCTTTTGTATAAGTAACTGGTCTGCTCACTTCCAAGACTTGAAAGAGATCTTAACACCATAGAGCAGAATCTTACAACTTGACAATGTTGCCATACACATTTTATCACAGTAATATTGACGGTGAGATATGAGTTTTCAAATGACACCTCAGAAGGCATACTTATAACCAAAGGTTATAATAGTGTACAAGAGGGTACTGACCATCATGGTAAATAACAAAATACTCTTTGCATATCACATCCCATTTTTTCATTCTTGTGACAGCACAGAAGTCAGTAAAGAGCATTGCTTAGTAGCTTTAAAGAAGAGCAGTTCTAAGCCCAGAGATGATCAACTTACTGGGAAGCAGACCAACTTATTGCTGTCTTTAACTTCTATGATTCTAAGAATAAGCAACCCCAAAATCCAAAATTACATTTGAGTCAACAAAGAAATACCTACTTTATATGGGCAAAGAGAGTCCTGCTTACAGACTGTGGCAATATGCTGATTGTTGTGCAGAAAGTATGGAATATGTTCTTCTGGTATATTGATACTTTTGTAGCTATATAACGGCACTTCTGGAATATTTTGTATTTCAATAAGCTTTTCCTCTTGGACATTAGCCAGGATTTCTTGAAGCAGCACTCCAAATACAAGGAACATTAGCATGGCAGCCAACTAATCCTGCAGTTAAAAAGGAGAGACAATAACATAACATACCTATTAGTCAATATTCTGTCAAATTAACTCATATTCTTTGAGTATGTTTTTTTGGATCATGTAGCTTTTCCCTAGGCAAGGCAAACTTGCACTAAAATTGGTTTGTACAGTCTCTGGATTGTCTGAAGTATGAATCATTAGTCATGAAGAGTTATTAGGCATTACCAACTCAAGTTCCATGTGAAATGGGTGTGTTGTCTTTCACCATGTCCTATGGGACCCTGAGAGTCCAAAGAAGAAAACCAGACATAAACTATATTGTATCTAGACTGTAGGAAAAACTTGCTTTACAAAACCGCCTACATTTTATTAAGATTATAAATAAACCTGAAAAAAAAATAGGGAGGACATTGGAAAATACAGATTGTTTATTTGCACAGGAGAAATGCATCAGGAAGTTGAATGGCCATACATACAATCACCATATGGCATCTAAGTTTCTGAACACATCAGCATGGTTATGTTTCATTAACACTACATTTTTTTCCCCCAAGGAGTACATGTAATAGACATAAATACACTTTTCAAATCAAGACTGGATGCCTTTCTAGAAGATATACTTTAATGGTCACACAAGTCACTGGGCTCAAAACAGGAGTAGCTGGAAGAAATTATATGGCCCACACTGTGCAGTCAGGTTGAATGATATGATGATCTCCCCAGGTCTTAAAATAAATGTATCCAACTCATAAAGCCTATTAGCAATATTCCTACAGTACAGTCAGACTTACCTCTATATTCAAGGAGAACTGCTCCAGATTTTCTAGCCATATAAACCTACAGGAAACAAATGAACACATTTTGCATGAGAAAATCTCACATACAAAGTCCCATACCTCGAGAATATTCAATACAATAAGCAGAATTGTGAGTACATTTTTAATAATCATTTAACAACTATAGCTGTTAAAGTTGTGTACACAAGTCCAATCTATAGCTTTAAACGTTGCATTCCCCAACACCTCTGAGTCTAACCAATGCTGACAAACTTTCAGTTAGGCCAGGGTGGGCAATAAAACAACAGCTGTTCCTGAGGGTTAGCCTTTGGTTGCTGCTTCTATATTTACTTACCTTTCCATAGGTACCAGCGATCACAGCTCCCATTGGCCACGGATCGCCATTCCTGGCCAATGGGAGGAGCAGGAAGCAGTACGGACTGGGACACCACTTCCCACAGCTCCTATTGGCCGGGAACAGAAATCCATGGCCAATAGGAACTGCGATCGCCCTTACCCACAGAGGTGCAGGTAAATAAAGTGGGGGGGGGGCACCAAGGGCTAACTGGACTGGATCCGGCTCGAGGACCAGTATTTGCTCACCACTGAATCTTTCCCTTTATCATGGCTATCGAAAACTCTTTAGAAGACCAAATCAAAAGCAAGTCAGTGTTACCATGACTACCCTTTTCCACCTCAGAGATATTCAAACACAAAATCAGCTTCCTATTATCTATATCTCAGATTAACTCTTTAACCAGAACACCCTTTTCTACGTCACAAGTCACCAATAGATCAACGCAACTAAATTTTTAGGGACATTCAATTCCAACCCTGGAATTTGCCCCTGCAACCACAGTAACTCCTGCTCGCAAATGAATGACAAAACCTAGATGGCAAGTACTTACATCTGGGCAGCTACGTTCTGTAACAAGGAAATTAGTTTCCTGTGAGGCAAAATTAAATGCTGCTCTTAAAAATGAAGCTGGACTTTCAGCACAGAAGGGTTTGGGACTATGTAACCAGACAAGACAACAAGAACGGAACTTCGAAATGACCTGTTGCTAAGTTCAAAATATCAGAGATAGAAAATGTGGTTAGCAGGGCTCCAGGCAAACTAAGGGAGTCTTTTCAGCCAGATAAACGCATAGGTACTATAAATTTATGGAGCCTTTCATTGAGTACAGGTCACATGTGCTGAACTAAAGTACAGTTGGCCAGTTTTGCAAGGTGCTAAGTGACTTTGATGCTCACAGAACAGAACTGCCCTTAGGACAAATTTGACATTTAATAAAGTAATGGGAAGCCAGTGTGTGCAAAATAGTACTTCCTTCCTCTCAAACACCACAAACCTGGAGGCAGAGGAAATTCAAATAGCCTGTCATGCTAGCTGCTGCTTTTACCTGAGGCAAGGTTTACACCCTCAAACCAGAGCTGGGCTGAACAATGACATGGAAGGCCATTTATAGCCCCTTCTTTGACACCATGGCAGGCCACGCCATGTCGCTGTGGCACAGGGAGAATGGAAGAGGATTCTCCAGCTTTGCCTCTGTAGGGGCTCCAGGTTTAATTTGGAGCTAGCTATGAGAATTAATGCTCGGCACAGCCCAACTGGATAACACAGAGAGCTCTGTAACTGAGAACCATCAGTGATTAGTGCAGAAGGGAACAGTAGATAACACAGCCCCTACAAATACACAGTAGCTAGTAGAATGTAATTTCAGTAACAAACTCCCCAAACTCGGGGTGGGGGAGGATGCTAATGACTGGACCCCGACATCCAGCCATTTCCTCCTCCAATAAGCATGTACAAAGCCTGAGCATCTGGCCAGCAGGCGGGAAGGGGAGAGGGTGGGAGAGCACCCAGCCTGGCCTCCCAACAGGCAGCACCCAGTGAAGGGTGAGGGGGGAAGAAAGAGAACAAATGCACCAAATCAACTACCCTGTGGCCTCCCCCTCCCCAGAGACCAGCACCAGCCAGATAGAGGATGGGGATGAAGCAGCCCCCTCCCCAACAGCAGGCACCAATGCCAGGGAAGGGACACAGAGCAACCCCTACCAGCAACAGGCACCAGACCAGGATAGGGGGCACCAAGCAGCGCCCTGAGCAGCAGGCACCAGCCCTGGGGAGCACCGAACAGTCCCCACCCCTAACAAAAGGCACCAAACCCAGAGAGAGGACACAGAG